AAAGGCCCAAGGTCATTTTGACTTTTAGCCAAGGAACTGGCTACTTTTCTTTGGGGTCTTTTTACCCTAACTGCCTAACCAATTCCTACCTCCTATTCTTATCACACCATCCTCTGAAAAGGTTACCCAAATTGTCAATGGGGAAGCGGGATGCAGACTGCTCTGGCTTCTTCCATGCTGAACAGGGACGGAGGATGAGGCAACTGGGACACCCCTTCAGTGGGTCTATCTAAAAGACTCCCAAACTTTATAACTCTTAACTGTAGGGAGAAAAGAGGAGAAGTAAAGGCAAGAGTAGTTAGCATTACAAGTTCTAGACAAGGAAACAGAAGACTAACATTACTGATCTCTTGTGTAGCCATCAAGAAATAATCCTTTGGGAACTATGGGGATAAAGGAGAAGAAGGAGCTCAAGAGAGGTGGGAGAAATGGGAGAAAAGGGGACACTTTAAATGGGGAGGGCAGGGAGGGAAGATAAGACAGATGAGAGAGATAAATAATGCCTAGTTAGTATAAAAAAACAGAGGGAATTATATTAGTCCAAAAACCTACTGAAAAAATTACACATACAATCTCTCTACATGAGTCTGTGTGTATAGCTGAAGGCTATATAACAAGAAACAGTGCCAGACAGGAGAAACCCTCCTTTGAATTGTTGGCCAGGGTAATTCAGGAGATTCCCAAAGATTACACAGGCTATTGCCAATGCCCTCGATTGCCTCCAGAACTTGAAGGTAAGACCCTATTGCTGAAGATAGGACATACTTCAGACACAGGATTTGGAACAATGGAGCTGGAACTGACCTGGAAGCCACCTCCCCTGAAGGCTAGCTCTTCATAGATTTGGAGTGCACTATGCAAGCTGCTAGGGAGAACATCAGTTGATTGTCCAACCCATCTTCAAGACCTAAAAACCACATAAATGACCAGCGCAGCAACTGGCATTGGTACAGTGGTGACACTTTTATCTTGGCAGTAATCAACAGTTACCTAATTGGACTTAAAGCTCATTCAATGGAAAGAAACTCATATGTGGTACTTATTATAAACGTAGCCAAATGCATGCAGCTGGAGAGGTCATAGATCTTAAAGAAAACCCCAAGGCTGTCACATTCCTAGACAAATGTAATTTCTTACTATGTGCAAAATATGAATTCTTAAATTTACAAACAAGTATCCCAGCCACCACCCATCAAAGAAGCTTCTTTTTCAACAGACAGAGATTATTACAGAGTTCCACAACTGGTCACACATAGATTATCTGTGAATTTCCCAAGCCTAAGTGGTACATCTGCGATAAAACCTCTATACCTAAGGCTCACAGAACATAGAACAAAGGATGAAGAGAACACTAATACATCTTTCAATTCTCTTCAATGTAGCTTCCTCATGCAACAGAGGACTAGGAACCCCAAAGATCACAAATGGCCAAAATGTAGAGAATAAGAGTCTACAGAGTGCAGGTCCTTGGACAGGACTCCTATATTAAAATTCACCCACCTAGGGCTTAGAGACCATTGCCGAAGAGGGGATTGAAAGATTGCAAGAGCCAGGGAGTAGGCGCATGACCATAAGGAAATAGAGCCCTACAAGCTCCTGGGACTCTTCTCATACAAACCTACAGCAATGGTGTCAGCATGCATAAGACCCATGCAAATTCAAGCAGACAAGAACCTCTCACGGAACTGTGGAAATGAACAGCAGGCCCCAACCTTAGTTGAAGAATTATTGGCAACTGATTACTACTGGGTGAGGAAGAGCTGATCTTCTTAAAGGGAGGGACTCTAGATAGGCTGCCTAGATCTCAGTGGATGAACTTGCACTGGGGGACATCTAGGGACACTAAGTTGACATGATAGGCCTTAACACAAATGACAGAATGTATGAATTCATTGGGGGGGGGCATGCTATGGGAGAGGATCAGTGGGGAAGGAGTTATAAAGATGATTAAGATGTTCTGTATGAAATACACAAAAATTTAGTAAAATTTTTTTTAAGGAATCCTTTGGCATATGCATTTTTTTCTTTGAACCTTTTCCTTCCATAGTATCACTCTTTAGGTCTCAAATGCAGCAGCTTTAACTTACAAACCTTATTCCTGCACCGTATTCCTCCCACCTGTGTCCTTTCACTGCCATCTTTGCTAGAGGCTTAGGTCATAGTATGAATTGAGAATATCAGAGGCACAAAAGTGCCCTTTTTCTATAAGGATTTTCTCACTCTCCTAAATGCAATGAAAGAAAGCAGTCTTGCTATGACTGATTGAGAATGCTCAATCAAATACTTTTGGCTTGACCAAGAATTTTTTTTAAGGGAGAGGCGGTTCTACTCTGTAACCCAGGCTGGCCAGAAACTTACTATATAGTCCATGCTGGTCTCAGATTCTCAGCAATCCTGTTTCAGTCTCCGAAGTGTTAGGATTGTAGGCATGAGCCACCATCCCCAGTTGTTGATCAGGAATTCTTATAGTGGGCTTTTAGTAGAGGTACGTGAATCCATTTAGACAAGTTCACGAAATACTTCAAAATGTAGGCAAAATATGTTAAATGTGCATTTTGCGAGCTGTTACTTAATCCTAGTCAAATCAGACATCGTTAAAGCCCAAATTCTTATAAACTAATGGATAAAGCATCTCCTTAACCTGAAGCTTCTATGTTCTTTTCATGTTGGGAAGTACTTCTGCCTCATAATGCTGTCTTTATATTCTCATGTTCTTTATTTTTTATGCACCACCACACCACACTCACGTTGTCAGTCTGTTTAAATGTCATATGCTGATAGTCTTTTCTCCAGCCTTCCTGACCTACCTATCCTCTTTTCTCTCTTACTGTGTGCCTTGCCTCTTCACGACCAGCACATCACTGTTTAGATTTTATTCAGATTCTGTTTTGTTTTATTGAATACTGTATTTGCAATTATACTCAAAAACTTTGAAAAGTCACCTGATTACTATAGGAATTTTTGTTGTTTTTTCGTTTTTTGCAGTAGGGTCTCATGGAGCCCATGCTAACCTCAAACTTGCTTTGTTGCTCTGTAGCTATGGCTGGTCATAGTCTTCCCACCTCCCCCACTCAGGTGTTAAGATTATAGGCAATGCGACACCATACTTCCTGCTATAAGAATTTTTAAAGCCCTATTACAATGTTCCCGCCTTCATTTTGCTTTTCTTAGTTTTAGTCACCCACAGTTTGAAAATAATGCATGGAAAATTCCAGAAATATTCAATTTATGTTTTAAGTAACTTTTATTGTATTTTATTGTTTTAATTTTATTATCCATTATTTAATATAATTCATTGTGACTCTGTTACTGTGCCCAATTTACAAATTAAACATTAGCATGGGTAATGTATATATAGGAAGAACCTTTATATATAATGTTAAGTACTGTTCACAGTCCCAGGCATCTATTTGGGGTCTTAGAACACAATCCCCTATAGATTAGTAGGGATGTGACACTTAGATCTTAGTGCTCTGAATTACACCAACATGAAGTAATTCCTTTGTATATAATGTATATAGACTTAGGAACTTAAGGCATATGCTTATGTATGAGTTTTCAGTTTTATTTGTGACACATGCCTGGAATCCCAGCTGTTTGAGAAACTAAGACTGAAACATCATGACTTCAGGCTCAGCCTGGCCAATAGCAAGATCCTATTTCTTTTTGAAAGAAAGTGATTTTATAGACCCACAGGCTTCTCTCTCCAGCGTAAGTTGATTGGGCCCTCCACGCCTTGACTCCCCTCAGCCTCAATCACCCTCCGATCTCCCCCACTGGTCTCTCCTCCTAGCCTGGGCCCTGTCCCATTCCTTGTCTTGGCACCTGTGCTGGATAACTTTAGTGTCAACTTGACACACCTGGGTTGAGGGAGCCTCAATTGGGGAATTTTCTCTATTGGACTGGCCTGTGGCCATGTCTGAGGGTATCTTCTTGATGGGTGATGTGGGAAGGCCCAGCCCACTGTGGGTGGTGCCATCCCTGGGCAGGTGGGCCTGTGTTGCATAAGAAAGCAGGCTGAGCAGGGGCCAGGGGAACAAGCCAGTAAGCAGCGTTCCTCCATGGCCTGTGCTCCAGCTCCTGCCTCCAGGTTCCTGCCCTGAGTTCCTACCTTGGGCTCCCTGATGAACTATGACCTGG